GGCCGTTACTCCGCCTGGATTGATGTGATTCCCGGAGGAAAGTAAAGATGGCAGCCGCTGGCCCCTCCCGGACCCCGTAGTTTCACGAATAGGTAAGACTGTGCACCTGTCGATATAGCCTCCAGGTTCTGCGACCAACAAAGCCGGGTCCGGTCCATTCATCAGAACTCTGACCCACCGGGCCAGACAGACTGGAAGAGTTTAGGATTTCAGCCAAACTCCATTTACAAAAGTGACATTTAAAAAATGTTCCGGTATGTCTGAGACCAGACTGCGGTTCGGTCACCGTTACGTTCGGGGTTCCGATGGCTCGGTTCCTTTAATAGGTTCGGCTCCGAAATTATTAACATCCAATCCTCGTTCAGGGTGTGAAATGGGTTTTCTTTCAGGCTCGTAGCTGCAGCCTCCTCCCTCCTCCGAGGAAAAAACCGACAGAAAAATCTAAAATCAGAAACATTTGGATTAAGTTCCGGTCCAAACTGTGAGTGGGATTCATATGACGTCACATAAAATGGGGATTAGTGGATCTTCAGGTCCAAGCGTGCAGCAGGTGAACAGCCGGTTCTCCAGCTGAGTGAAACCGGTTTGAGGAACCGCTGTGGTTCAAGCTGCTAATGTCAGCAGATGAAGCTGCCCTGCGGGTCCGGCTGAACGTCTGTCTTGGTTCTGGAGACCAGAACTTCCAGGTTCTGCCAAGGTCCTGTTGCAGCTGCATGGTGATCTGCAGCTGTGCGATGACATCAAGACAGGAAGTCACAGCAGCTGGCTGAGCTTCCTCTCTAAGCCTGCAGATTCACTCAGTTCTTTCCTTCAGAACCAGAACCTTCAGAGCGGAGCCAGAAGATCCTCTGGGTCCGACTTCGGCCCAACATCTGAATGTTCTCTGAGACCAGATCATCTCAGCAGATCAAAAAGCAGCAGGATCTGCTGGAGGAAACGCCGGCTTGTCCTGCAGATCAGAGCAAATCCCGGAACCGATTCCTTCCCGGAACCGATTCCTTCCCGGAACCGATTCCTTCCCGGAACCGATTCCTTCCCGGAACCGATTCCTTCCCGGAACCGATTCCTTCCCAGAACCGATTCCTTCCCAGAACCGATTCCTTCCCGGGAACCGATACATTGTCAAAACTGATTGAATCCTGTGAGGACTGGTCTTTGACTAGAGCATTCCAGGATTTTGTGTCTTTGCTTTTTCAGTCATTCTTTCGTAGATCTGCTGCAGCCCAGGTCATCAGCCCTCCACCACTGTGCCTGACAGCTATTATGAGGTGTTTGTGTTGACCTTTAACCTTTAACGGCGCTCTGGTGTTCAGAGATGACTGACTTGGTCCTGCAGCTTCCACTCTGTCGATCATTGCTCGTCTCTGCCTGGTTCTGATGAAGTTTAGTTTCCAGTAACAGGAACTGGTTTCCAGTCTGAGTCTCAGGCTGATTGTGGATATCTGGCAGGGGTGGGGTTTGGCTGTGACTGTGGCCCCGCCCCCTCTGATTGGGTCACCCTGTGACCTCTGTCATGTGACTCTGGCCCCAGCTCTTTGTTCCGAACCGTCCTCCCCCTCTGCTTCATTAAAAAGCCTTTTGTCTGATGGGGGGTTCACACAGACTGGTCGCTCTCTCTTCTTCTTCTACTGATCTGTCGTCTCTGTTGCTGAGATTAGCATGAATGGTGTTAGACGGTGGTAGAATCAGCTGATTAAGCCAGACAGCCCAACATAACCTCAATAATATTCATTTTATTCATTCTTAACCTGAAAAACAGAAGTAATGAAACCAAAAGCTGTTAAAAAAAACATCAGTTATATGAGACTCACACCAGCTTCTCATTCTGTTATTCTTTGAGTTCACTTCCTGGTTCTGATTCCCAGTATGTCGTCTCAAAGCTCCTCACTAAACAAACAGGTTTCATTCACTCCCAGACACTAAACAGCACAGTTCAGTTTGAACAGTTTTCCATCAAAGGAAGGATGAAAAACTGTATGACTGAGCATCAGCTCATTTACCGCAATCCTTCATTCTGAGCATGCACATCGCGACAGTAGAGAGGAAAAGTCTGCTTTAACAGGAACAAACCTCCAGCTGAACCAGAACCAGATTCAGGTCAAGTATGAAAAGTAAACAGGTGAATGTCTCCCCACTCCACTTTCATAACCTTCAGGAGCCAATAGCGTGCAGTGTGATGTCACGCATGCTAGATCCCGCCCACAGCTTCCAAGTGGAAGGTGAACATCTTTGGTTTTAGCTGTTAGCTTGTCAATATAACACTAAATCTTGAATGTATATGTGAGATATAAAAGAAAAATGGACACAGAACTTTGCTACTGTAACAAGATCAAGAAAATGTTTTAATTAAAAAAATAGCGAGGAAAAGGGAAGTAGGTTAGTTATGCTAGCTTGACTTTGACAGCCATAATCTGTAGATGTGATGCTATGGTGATTAGCTGATAGCAGCGGTAGCTAATCTACCACAGCAATCACAAGCTAAACATGGACCCTGAAAGCATAAAACTAACGGGCTGAATGTCCTGTTGCTTGTTTTTGGTGTTGCATTCTGATGCACTAGTGGAGTTGTTGTCAGTCGGTTGCTATAGCAATGAGTCTGTGTGTAGCACAGCTAACACAGAGAGTAAAAAAGTGGCTTTGACTTGTTGTTTAACAATTTTTCGGTGTTATTTTTCTCTCTGCTATGGCGCTTCAAGTTAATAATCCCTTCGTCTCCTGGTTTCATTTTGTTAGTGGTTCTAGGCGGCGCCGCTACAGACAGGAAGGAACAGAATCAACTGTTAGCCCTCCAGCATTGTGCACACGCATGAACAAAACAAGGTGTTTGGGTTGTCAAAGTGACAATTTGTCAGACTATGTGCAGATTAGTCAGACTACAGCATTAAACAGACTGTGATTGGTTCAGGTGACTCAGGTTTATTTACTCAACTGTTTTTTTATTATTCAGCACCAGAACCTGCAGCTTACTGAAGGTAGACTCATCTAAGCCACCATGTAAAACATTTTTTCATAAAAATCACAGAAAAGATGAACATGTTTGTCAAACCATAGCCTACATATCTTGAACCATAGAAACCATTTATATTTTCTTGATCTTGTTTCCTTTACCAAATGGCCATGTTCCAAAATGGCCGCCTTGGTCGTAATGGAGATTATATGTTTGCACTAATATAAAGAGTTGATATTATTAGTGGTGGGGACAGCGGACCAACAAGAATCTGAGCTCTGCTAACCTGTTAAACACATAAGAAAAATGAGCGGATGCTAACGCTAACCATGAAGATGACTGTTTTTCCAGCGTGTAAATTGCTACATGTTATTACTTTAACAATGTATGATGACCAAAGTCAAAAACAGTTTGTCCAAATTGTGAAAATGAATAACATTTAAACAATACTTGACTAAAAAGGTTTAAAAACAAAATTCAAGTGGATGATGGGAAACATGAAAAACATCTGAATTGAGCAGCGAATAAGATTGTTTCCACACTGAAGAGATTTTTAGAGTAACACTGCTGATGAGGACAGCAGCTTTCAAAATGAAAATGAGTCAAAAGAATAAAAATTGCTACTCAGCAAATGTACTAAAACCTATTTCCATAATGACTGAATAAATATGGTATTTGTAGGTGTGAAAGATTGTTACGTTAATAAGCTGCGTTAATAACCCAGATTATCTTCTGACCGTCTCCTCGTCAGATCTGCTCCCACCGCAGCTGCCATGTCTGCGGCCCAGACCCAGAAGGAGGGCAGCGAGGCGGGCTGGGGCGCTCTGGAGGCTCTGGGTCTCAGCCAGAGGGAGCTGGTTCTGGCCGAGGCGCTGCAGATGGAGTACGATGCTCTCTCCAGACTCAAACAGGACAAGACCGGAACCGGGTCTGCCCTCCCAGACCCGGCGCTCCCAGCCAGACGGGCCTAAAGACTCCAGATCCTTCCACACCGGGACAGAACCTCCCCGCCTCCTCAGAGGACCTGCTGCTGGACCTCTCTGGACCCGACTCCTCCCCCAACCAGCCGGGGGGGTCCCAGTTCCCGCTGCCCCTCCCACCCAGACCAGCGCCCCCTGCTGGGGGCTTCATGAAGGAGACACCCTATATCCTGGACAGTCCTGAGCTCAGGAAGTTCTCCGGTTCTGGTTCTGGCGACTCTGTTGGACCCGGCTTAGGGTTCCTCTCTAAAGGCTCGGCCCTACCTGACGACGTTCCCCCCGCCGTGCCGCCCAGGCACCCCCTACCCCTCCGTCTGGGTCAGAGCTGCCCCTGCTGCCCCCCCGGCCCTCCAACCGGGACGTTAACGTGTTCCACCCTGGGGGCGACCAGCTGAAGGTGACCTCAGCGGAGCTGAACTATGACCTCATCAACGACTCGCTGGCCAGACTCAACGAGGGTCGTCCGGCGCCGCCAGCCCGCTGGGCCAACGGGGACCAATCAGGGAAGCCCGTGGCCCGGAGTAAGACCCTCCCCACAGGTGCCGCCCAGGACCTACACACCTGCGGCGAAGAGCAACAAGAACCAGCGCAGGGTTTCTGCTGACCCGGTAAGAACCTGGACAGTACAGGGCTGTGATTGGCTGCAGAATGAATCAGATTTCCTGTTTTAAGTGAACCGGACTTCCTGTCTATATTTGTGTCGAAGCTGCAGCTGCTTCAGGTCTAAACCAGGCCCAGAGTTCTGGTTCTGGTTCCATCATGTTTCTCAGAAAGAACTCATCATTTCCTCCCAGTTCATGTTCACCTCCAGTTGAACACCAGTCAGACCAGTTTATCCAGCAGAACAACCCGGTTCTGTCAGTCAGAACTCAGTTCTGCCCCCTGTTGGAGAAAGGTCTCATCACACTTCAGGTGATGATCATCCTGCCTTCTGATTGGTTGAAACGAGGCGGAGCGTCAGCAGGAAGTTACATCACTGAGCTGTTTATCGATCACAGCCGCCATTAGAAAATTGTTAGGGTTAACACCTGTTAAACATACATTAACAAGACAGAAAAGACAAAAGAGTTAGATTCTTTTTCACTCGCGAGGAGAACGGACAGAGATGTGCTTCAGTTACAATCTCCTACCGCTCTGAAGCACATTTTGTCTGCTCCTCTATTTTATTGTTTCTAGGATCCCTAATCACAAGGACGCTGTAGCTCTAAAGGGAGGGGGCAAACAGCTACAGCGTCAAATGTTATTCACTAACTAACACACAATCATTCTGCACTAGATAATGTCCTTCCAGGCACAAAGATTAATAAAATATGTAGTGATCTTAGCAATGATGGCTTTATTGGAGGTTAGCAACTCAACCGAAGCAGAGCTCTTCACCAAGAGGTAAACCTGCAGGAAGATTTTGTTTCTGCTCTCTGTCAGTGAGGCCTTCTGAGAAAGGAATCAGAGTAAATCAACAATACAAGGAACATTCTTAATTCTATAATGAGATTAACTTAAAGGAAAGCATCAATTAAAGATACATTATAAAGATCAGTGAGAATAACAAATAATTGATTAATAATATCACAATTTCTCCAACAAAAATGGTTTGAACATATTTGATCTCTGATTGTTTTTCTCACTTTTTTTCTAAAGGAAAAGTAAGAAATTTACCAATGATAAAAAGGTATTTATAAGTGGCTTTCACTTGCATAATCCCTGCTGTGAGATGGATGAGGGAGTATCAGGGCCACAATGCCAGAATTTTTGTTTACTTACAAGAATATAGTCATAAGAATAATGGTGCAATCTTACCAGAAAAAAAGCCTTAAAATGATGAGAAAAAGGTTATTTTCAATCTGATCTTTCCTTCTTAATTTGTGTGATTTTTTTTCCCCCTTCCAAATAAAGATAACTTCACAAGAGTTCTTCAGTTTAGTGTTTATTTTTGATGTTGGAGTTGTCATAAAACAATGATTTTATTCTGACAATAAAACACACCTGGTGTGATGGAGCAATGAAATCTGTGCTCTGATTGGCTGACAGGTATTGTGTGCTCTGATTGGCTGACAGGTATTGTGTGCTCTGATTGGCTGACAGGTATTGTGTGCTCTGATTGGCTGACAGGTATTGTGTGCTCTGATTGGCTGACAGGTATTGTGTGCTCTGATTGGCTGACAGGTGCGCCTGGGCTCCAGGACCAACGGGTTTGGATACGAACTGTTCCAGGTGTCGGAGGAGAGAGACGAGGAAGTGGCAGCGTTCTGTCACATGCTGGATGTGTGAGTGACTCCTCCCCTTCCTGTGTAATTCTCCAGAAACAGTTCAGACCAGGGTGTCCAAAGTTAGCATGAACCATTTTAATTCAAATGAAATTATCAGATAACAATAGAATAGAATCATGGATCCAAAACTACAAAAGGTTTCTGCAGGTTTTTCGTGTTAAATGAAACGCATCCAGTTTAATTGTCAACTAGAAGAGAAATGAAACTTTTCTCAGCATTAAAACAGGATCTGGGTCAGTCTTCATTTGAAGCACTTCTTGTATTAAGCCAACTAAAAGCAGAGTTGGACCAGGGTGGACTTGGACTAGGCCTGAAACAATTAAACCGAGTAATTGATTATTGAACTAATCTTTAACTAATTTAGTAATTGATTAATTGTTAACTAGAGGATTTGAACTCAAAAGGTCTGTGTGTGTGTGTGTGTCCCTATGTGTGTGTGTGTGTGTGTGTGTGTGTGTGTGTGTCTCTCTCTGTCTGTGTGTGTGTGTGTGTGTGTGTGTGTGTGTGTGTGTGTGTGTGTGTGTGCAGGCTGCGCTCAGCGTACCCCAGCAGCAACCGCTCTAGGAACGCCGGCTTCGTGTGGTCGCCGTCGGTCGGCCATGATGAGCTGCACCAGGCTTTGGGCGTGGCCGTCAAGGTGACGGTGGCTTGCGAGGCGTTCAGGGAACCTCTGACCTTCACCTGCGACGGTAATAAGCCCGGGTAGTACCGACTGGACGGGTTCTGGAGTGAAGGAGATGGTCCTGCAGGCCGAGCAGCTAAATGAGAGTTTCTATGGTTATGCTGGGTGTTTGTGTGATGATTTTCTTCGTGATCCGGTTCTGTCGGAGCCTAACCGGACCGGTCTGTGTGTCTCAGGCTCGTCCACGGTGGACCTGCTGATCTACCAGACGCTGTGCTACACCCAGGACCAACTGGACCAGCTGGACGTGGACGACTACCTGCTGAAGGTCTGCGGATACGAGGAGTTCCTCAGCAAGTAAGAACCGGATCGGTATCGCTGGTTCTGGAGGTCCAGCAGCTGGTTCTGGCGCTCAAAGGAGGTTCTGGTTCTGTGGTTTGTGGTAAAGCTACGTGGATCTTCTGTCAACCTATAAAGCTGGAACTGAAACCAACTCCAGAGAACCAGAACCACTCTGGGCTCAGACAATCAGAACCACGGCAGCAGATGGATAAAATGACTTCATCGGGTTAAAGGTCACAAAACCAGCTGGTCCTTCGTGGAGATGGACCTGCATGTTCTGATCCGACTGCTCCCAGATGGGGTTCCTGTTCTGGATCTCTGGTTCCGGTCCCCTAAGAGCAGGAAGCAGCTGTAGAGGTCTTCTCTCTCTGTCTCTCTCTCTCTTACACACACACACACACACACACACACACACACACACACACACACACACACACACACACACACACACACACACACACACTCTGACATACACACACACACAACTGTCTGCTGCTGAATGGGTGGAAGTGTGTGTGAGAGATAAGAGCAGCTGAACTTCCTGCTCTGAAACAGTAACTCAGGGAGAACCCGGAATCCGGGCCGGTTTTTCTGTGGATCCGGGCCGGTTTCTCTGTGGATCCGGGCCGGTTTCTCTGTGGATCCGGGCCGGTTTTTCTGTGGATCCGGGTCGGTTTCTCTGTGGATCCGAGTCGGTTTCTCTGTGGATCCGGGCCGGTTTTTCTGTGGATCCGGGTCGGTTTCTCTGTGGATCCGGGCCTGAATCCGGGAAAGATTTTCTGAATCCGGGTAAATTTTTCTGTAAGTTTGGATTTTGAGGAGACCATGACAGCACAGATCACAGTAAACTGGAGGAAAAATCCAAACATTGCAAACTCTGAGTAAAGCTGACCCTTTCTCTGTACCTCTGTCCTTCCTTATGTCCGTCCTTCAGTTCTCAGACTCTGGCCGGTCTGGAGTTTGTCCAACAGTGTCTGAAGTTTGACTGGGACATTCGGCTGTTTCTCACCAAGAGATCTGCAGTCAACACCACGCTGGCTCGCACGGTACACACACCACGTACACACACGCTTTGTTCTTAGAGAAATGAAACAATGAGCTGAGAGGCTGCAGCAACCCGCTGTGGTTCTGAACAAACGCCGGGTTCTGGGAAACAAACCGGGTCACACATCCTGCTTCTGTCATTTAAAAAGGACCCAGTTTCAGAGCACAACACCCTGCAGGTGAGCTGCAGGTGCTGAACGACCAACCGTGTAGCTCTGTCCTAACCAATCAGATCTCACATCCACTGAAACCAGGAAGTGAACCACTAACTGTTTAAGCCAATCAGAGACACAGACTTATTTTCCTTCCAGGAGGAAGATGATGACACGCCGTCCTCCATGAACCACTGCATCCTACTGCAGGAGCGTCCCATTAAACAAACGATCACCAGGTGAGGGGCGTGGCCTGGCCACAGAGCTCTGATTGGTCGATCTCCGTTAACGAGCGTGTCCATGTGTTTGATCAGGGAGGCTCTGACTCTGTTGCTGGACACCTTTCACAACGAGGCCGAGTCCTTTCTGCTGTCAGAGGTGACCTGCATACACACATATTTAAAGATAAAAATAACCAAGAGTTACACGCACACACAGACCCCCCCACCCCCCACCCCCCCACACACACACACACACACCCTCTTATTTGTGTCGCTCTCTGAAGGTGGAGCTGCTCCTGCATGTGGAGCGCCTCGTCCAATCAGTGAAAGCGCTCTGTAGCTCACTGGCTGCCGTAGAAACGCCGGATGTGACGGCAGCCCTGAACCAGCTCCCAGCATGCCCTTGTCGCCTGCAGCCCAAGGTTCTGAAGGTGAGCGGTTCTGAGGTTCTGTGGCAGACACTCAGAAGTTTAACGTCTTCCTGTTTCCCAGGATGCATCAGTGCTGTTGCTGCGGAGAACAGAGGTACGAACAGAACCAGTGATCCGGTTAGTTCCTGCAGCAGAACCTCCTTCAGCTCTCCTCTCTTCCTGTAGAGTCGGTGGTGGAGAAGCTGACGGCGGCCATCTTGGACCTAGTGGAGCTCTATTGCAGCACGTTTAACGCCAACTTCCACACGGCGGCGCAGAGCCGGAGCGGCACGGCGCCGGTCCAGGAGGCCGGGCTCGTCACCAACGTCCTGTCCTTCAGCGTGTATGCCGCCCATCGCGTTCCCATCACCTGGGCAACCAGGTACGATGGCTCGCTGGGTTGCATCAGGTTTCCTGTAGCTCGGTCGGTTCTGCAGCTGTTGGGTCGGTTCTGTTAAACCATAGAAAGATTAAATGTTCTCTGAGATGATTCTGAGCATAAAACATTTTTTGAAAATCTGCACATAGTACACCTGGCCTGTTCCTCATGCTCTCATCATGACATCACGTGTGTTCTGCTCTCTCATTGGTCAGCTACGAGGGTTTCTTCCTGTCCTGCTCTCTGACTCATGGAGGGGCGGAGCTCTGTGCGCCGCAGCACACCAGCAAACAGGCCGTCAGTAAATACCTGTTCCACCTGGTGGTGTGGGACCAGAGGTACGCACCTGAGCCATGACATCACAGCCTCACCTGGTCCAGGTTCTGTTGACTGGTTTTAATCTGTTTGGTTCACACAACCCAGTTAGTTGAATCATCACATGTCGGGGTTATTTGAGTGTGTGACCCTGACAGCTCTGGCTCAGCCAGAGATTTTTAATTTCAACTAGATTTTCCTGGAGAAACAAAGGCCTGATTATTGAATTACGCAAACAAAGAACATCACAGAGCAGTAATTAATCTAAAGCTCTACAAAAATGTAAACATTTGATTCTCTGAAATGATGTTCTACCCAAAACTCTTCGCTAGCAAAACTAGCTTCATGTGGTTCAGATTTTGTCAAAGAAAATTGTATTAAGTCCAATTAAATTCAAAATATGTTATTAATCCTAAAAGGAAATTAAATGTTGTTGTAGCTCATCAAGATTCTTCAAAGAGCCATTGAAGGTGGCTTAATTACATCTATTAATCCAAAACAGTATTTTTAGCTGGAGATGAATCAGCGACAAATGATCAAGCGTTTGCCTAAGGAATCCTATTTTACGCAGTGAAGCGTTTATTTTCTAATTTCAAAAATTGACTTAAATTTTTTATTTGCATTTGTGTGCACTTCTAAATTTTTTAAAGAGAAAAATTAGCAGAATGCGCTAATTAATCAATTGATTAATCAATTTCTAAAATAATCTAATACATATTTAGATATTCATAATGTCTGCCGTTATGCTGATAATACTCAGATATATCTATCCATTAATCCCTCAGTTTAACCTCTGACCTCTCCCTGACCCCCTCACCCCTCAGGGTGTGTTTCCCAGTGGAGATTACCCAGCTGCCCCGGGAGTCGCAGCTCACGGTCACGCTGTACGCCAGCCCTCTGCCGCCCCTGGAGGAGCCGAGGAGAAGGGCAAGCAGCGGCGCATCCCTGAGCCTCTGGGCTGGGTCACCATGCCGCTCTTCAACTTCAGACAGTGAGTCACATGACTCCCAGGAAGCTCTTCTGATTGGTCAGCTTGGCTCACATGTAATGTTTGCTCCCTGCTTGGTTCTGTTGGTCTCGTCATCATAGAAACGGCCATTTAGACCGAAGGGACATAGATTCACGGTTCAGCTTCCTGTCACGGGTCACTCAGTAAATCTACCTGCTGATGGCAGGTGGAGGTGTGTGCTGATGTGTGTGTGTGCGCAGTGTGCTGACATGCGGCAGGAAGTTGCTGGGTCTGTGGCCATCAACCCCAGGGAGGAGCGGAAACGCCCCGAACCAGTTCTCCCAACTTCAGCCAGCCGGACAGCGTCATCCTGCAGGTGAGAACCACACCTGGACAGGTGAAGACCTTCCTCCTGATGATGTAGCCAGACGGCATGACACCTCACCTGTGTGTCCCCAGGTGGACTTCCCCACCTCGTCCTTTGAAGTGATCTTCAGCACGCCGCCCCCTGCTGACTTCTGTCCTCAATACGACTTCAGCAGGGACACGATCAGCCAGATCCAACTGCAGGACGTCCTGCAGAAGAAGGCCTTCCATTGGTCAGACACACACTGATACACACTGATACACACTGATACACACTGATACACACTGATACACACTGATTACACACTGATACACACTGATACACTGATACACACTGATTACACACTGATACACACTGATACACACTGATTACACACTGATACACACTGATACACACTGATACACACTGATACACACTGATACACACTGATACACACTGATACACACTGATACACACTGATACACACTGATACACACTGATTACACACTGATACACACTGATACACACTGATACACACTGATACACACTGACACACTGATACACACTGATACACACTGATACACACTGATTACACACTGATACACACTGATACACACTGATTACACACTGATACACACTGATACACACTGATTACACACTGATACACACTGATACACACTGATACACACTGATACACACTGACACACTGATACACACTGATACACACTGATACACACTGATACACACTGATACACACTGATTACACACTGATACACACTGATTACACACTGATACACACTGATACACACTGATTACACACTGATACACACTGATACACACTGATACACACTGACACACTGATACACACTGA